AAAAAGAAAAAGAAAAGAAAATAGTGGAACTGACAGTATGAGACTTTAAAGGACAGCTCGTAAAAGGCAATGCAAGTTCGTATTTGTCCATTAGAATGAACCATGGGGTTCTGGCTAAGGATCGTGATGTTTTATATGAGAAATGTGACTATGCAGAGGTGGCCATGCTTTGAGGAAACCCAGCTGATGGAGATGTGTATTGGGAGTACATTTGACAGTCCCTGCTGGGCCCAGCCTTTGAGTTTTCTCAGCCCTGGTGCTAGACTATAAATGAAGTTCTAAAGTGTTCTACCCCACAACCATCCAATCAAGTCACCTTTTAAGGTTTTCCAGATCCCACAAAGAGACAAACTCTCCCCACCTCTGAGTCCAAATTTCTGACTCAGAATCCATGAGCATAATAAAGTGATTGTTTTGCCCTGGATGTGGTGGCACACACCTGTAATCCCAGCATTCAGGAGGCTGAGGCAAGAGGATTGTTGTGAGTTCAAGACCAGCCTGGGCTACAAAGTGAGCTCAAGGCCAGCCTGAACTGCTTAGCGAGACCCATTCTCAAAAAGACTAAATAACTTTGTCTGTAACTCTGTATTGTTTGTATTATTCTTATGCTATTTTGTAAATGGATGTCTGTTTGTTAATATGTTTTCCTTCTTTTATTTTTAAAATAAATTTTAAAAAAGAAAAAAAGACTAAATAAATAAATAAAGTGATTGTTTTATGACAGTAAGTTTGGGTTAGGTTTGTTCCCCAGCAATACTAATTAGTACAGCTCCTTCTATTTCATTTAAATGTATGCCTTGTTCAAAAAAAAAAAATTACCATGTCTGACATATAAAAATTGCCTAGGCTGTCCTTGAACTTGTGATGCACCTGCTTCAGCCTCCTGAGTATTAGGATTATAAATGTTCTATCCCTTTGTTTATCAATACAGATATCCAGACAATCCTGATCATATATTCTCCATCATTTTATTATGACAAGTTTTTAACATACAGCAAGTTGAAAAATTTTACAGTGGACATCCATATGCCCATAGTTAAATCCTATTACGAACATTTTACTATATTTGCTTTATCTCACATTTCTACTTAATTACCTATCAATCTAACTAATCTTTGCATGTATTTCAGTACAAATTCCAGACAGCACCATCCTCAAAATATTTTAGCACATAAATCTTTAGCTAGAGTTCAATATACAATGAAATTCACAAATTTCACTGAAATTAGTAAGTGCATACACCTGTGTAATCCATCCTTATCATGGCAATTAAAAAAAAAATAGTCTCTAAACCAAGTGTCAAAGAATAACAGCATGAGAGAAAGGAAACCAGGGAGTCAGTATCATCTTTTTGAATTGAACTTTGGAAGTTAGGCTGCATCCCTTCCTCTGTATTCTATTTGTTGAGGGGGCGAAGTTTCAAAGGGATGCGACATTGACTCTACCTGGAAAAAAATAATACTTCATTGGGGAAAACAATTTATACAATTCAAAGTCGTCTGGCTTCAAAAGATGCTCCTTCTCTGCGCAGCCGCCTCGTTAGAGACCTGGGGGATGATCTGGGTGGAGGGGACCAAGATCTCAGGTCTTCAGTGCAGTCCATCAGGAAAAATATTTGTGCGTCTACTTTCCTGGAGAGAAGTTATGGGAGCAGAGGCTGGGGTATGTGCTCAGGACTAGGACCTGGGGGGCTGTGGACGGGGCTCCGATACAGGAGCTAAGGAGAAGTCTCAGAGGATCACCTTTTCTGTAGCCGCAGATCTGCCCTCTGGGCTCTAAGCACCTGCAGTACAGGGTCGTCCTGAAACTCGCTGCCGTCGGAGTCTGGAAGGAAAGCAGTCAACTCCAGGGGGCTGGCCTCCACTAAGATCCCAAAGGGTGCAAGCAATCTGCTCACCTTCTGCAGCTTCCAGAAGTCTGGCGGCCTGGGAGAACAGGTCCTCGGATGGGGATGAGGAGCGGTGAGCCTCGGGCGAGGGTGGGGCCGCAGCCTCAAGAGACCACGACTCCAGCCCGGGCGACTGGGCCTCGGGGAGTGTGGACACCTCAGTTGGAGAGGTTAGGACACCGCGGGGCAGGGACCCAGCTTCCCCGGTGCCTTTTGGAAGCCCCGACTCCTCCGGGGAGGGCGTGGCCTTCGCCTGGCTTATCCCAGCCTTAGACCTACTAGCGCAATCCGAGGGAGGGGGCGTGGCCCTTCCACTGGGGGGCGTGACCTTGACTCCCGAAGGGCCACCCTCAAGGGGAGGGGGCGTGTCCTCCAGGCCTTCAGGGAACAGCCGCGCGGTCACCACCTGGCCCAGGGCGCCCCTGAGCTGTGCGCCTGGCCCCTCGCTGGAGGCTGTCATTCCGCCCGCAGCCTCCGGGCGCGAAGCTCTGGCCTTCCGAGGCTTGGGTCCCACCTTCTCTGGCTGGGCAGAGACGCCTGGCTCGGGGATAGGTGGGCTCTGGTGGGTGGCAGGGGATGTGGGATTGGTGGTGGCGGGAGCTGGGATGGAGGAGGCCGGGGGAGCCGGGATGGAGGTGGGGGGAGCCGGGGGAGCCGAGGGAACCGGGGTGGAGGCCAACGGTGGCGGAGGAACGGTCCCGAGAGATACCCAGGGGCTGGACTGTGGGGCCCAGAAGAACCCGTGGGTGCTGGGTGCCCAGAAGATGTGCGGTGAGGACCCTAGGCCAACAGGAGGTCTCTCCACGTAGAAGGCCTCTGGAGGACCAGGCTGGGCCACACTGCCCCACAGCGGGACGCAGGTAGGCTGGGTCGCCGGGGAACCAAGAGTCACCGCGGGGGCGGAAGGCTGTAGATACAGAGAGGGATCCGAGAGGGGCACGAAACAGGTGGAGGGCCCGAGGCCTCTTCATCCGCCTACTTGGTCCAGCTCCCCTCAGGATTCTCCCCCTCTCAGCTTACCTGGGTGGCAAGCGCGGGGGTCCGCGGCAGCACGCAGGGTCCATCACCCTGCTGCACCCGTCCTCGAGCCTGTTCGAGCTTCCGACGCTGCCGCCACTGGTACAAAATGTCATCCTCTGGCCGAAGGGGAGCTGGGGAGGAGGCTGGGGCTGGAGCAGGGGTGGGGCCTTGGGCTGGCGCTGGGCCTGCTGTGGGGGAAGTAGAGGGGAGGGGGTGAGGCAGGAGCCGGGGTGATGAGCAACCCAAGGACAGCCTGCACCCTCACTCTACAGGCAGGTCAGTAATGCCCGACTCCTCTCTGGAGCCGGAAGTGGGGAGGGGCCAGTCAGGAGACTGGGCACCTGGGTTCTCCACCTGCCATCTTCCACTTCTTCATTCATCCAACAATATTTATTGAGCTCTCTATCCGCCAGGCCTAGTATTCTGGACAATGGGGGTACAGCAGTAAACGGGGCAGACTCTGGAATGCCCCCACTGTCTCCACCCTGCCACTGCCCCTCACCCTGGTCCAACCTTATCCCACCTGGATTATCCAGCAGCCTCCTCCCTGGACCCCAGACTCTCCTGACCTCCCAAGCTGTTCCCCACATGCGGACACTGGGAGGCTGTGAATCCTGGAGTGTTCAGGGCCTTCCTGCTTATGAACCCTCCCACCTGCACTTCCCTCCTGGAAAAAGGTAGAGGATTTTGAGTTTGGGGTTCCCCTCTGTCTAGATGGCCTTTTCCTTGTCTACCTCAGGCTTTTTGCCCTCTCTCTCATCACTTTAGATCTTTTTCTTCTTTCTTTTTTTTTTCTTTTTTCTTTTTTTTGATACTGGGAGTTGAACCTAGGACCTTCACAATGAGCCACATCCCCAGCCACTTTTTTATTTTGAGAGAGGGTCTTGCTAAATTGCTTAAGCTGGACTCAAATTTGTGATCCTCCTGCCTCAGCCTCCCAGAGTGCTGGGATTACAGGAATGTGCCACCATGCTCAACTTGATTCTAGTTTTAAATCTGACCACTTCCCTCCACTCTGCTCTTCAGGATGTGGCCCAAGCCAAAACAGCAGCATCTCTCATGGGGGAATCTTAACATCCAAGAAAGATCATGTTTCCTCAATGCTCACAAGTCTCTTGAGATTTCCCAGCATTAATACCCTGCTAACAAAATGCCTCACCGTGCCTTCATGGCCCAATATAACTGGCCCTTGCCAACCTCTCCCACCTTATGCCATGCTATTCTCATCCCTGACTCTTGCCTCTTCTGGTCTTTTGCCTGTACTGTTCCCCTCAACACACACATTTCAGGTCTCATGTACATACATGCTAGAAGGTTCTTGCCCATCCCTATCTTCCTCATGGAGGTTTCCACTTAGCTAGCACCTCCTCCAGGAAGCCCTCTATGACTTCCCAGCTCCACAAATCCTTCATTTCTGTGTTTCACGTTTTTTTGAAGGATAATGTGGCAATTCTCTACCCCATATCCACTGCGCTGTAACTTTGAAGGTAGGACCATGTATATGTGGTTTGCTGTGGAATCCCCTATCCTGTTCACAGGGTTTCACTCATGGTAGCAATGTTTGTTAAATGAATTAATGAATACATTTAACTGAAAAAAAAAAAAACCTATGGAATAAGAACTAGTTTTATCCCCATTTCACAAATGAGAAAACTGAGGCTCAGAAGAAAGAGATGAATAAAAGGTAAACCTTAGAAGGCGTAAAGAATCAGAGAGATGAGTCTGGGAAGGATTGCACTACATGGATGAACACTTCCTGTTAGCTTGTGCTTGCCTATCTCCCACTCACGGAGCCCCATGAGACCTGGATAGCTGCTGTCTTGTGCACCATGGCACCCAAGACCTGGGTACAGAGCAATAGTACCAACCATGACAACAAAAACAGTAACCAGGTCCTCTATCCCATCTCTGAAATGTTGAAAGGTCAATAGTTTGCACTTTTTTCTTTCTTTCTTTCTTTTTTGGTACTGGGAATCAAACTCAGGACATTGTGCTTGCCAGGCAGGCACTTGCGCCACTGAGCTATATCCCCGGCACCCCGCCCCCCTTTTTTTAAAAGCAGGACTGGGGATTGAACCTAGGGCCTTAGAACTGAGTTATATTCTTAGTGCTCACTTCAGCAGCACATATACTGAGTTACATCCTAAGCTCTTTTATCTTTTATTTTGAGACAGAGTCTCACTAAGTTGCCCAGGCTGGACTCTCAACTTGCGAACCTCCTGCGTCAGCCTCACAGAGTCCTGAGGTTACAGATATGTGCCACCAAGCCCAAAAGTTTGCACTTTTTAGCTAAGTTGCAAAGTGTATAGAGCTTAGACATGACTCTGGGGCAGTACTTGACTCAAGCACAAGGAAAGTTAGCTGAACTATATGAAACTGCTAATATTCAACTTTTTTGACTTATAAAAACAAAAATTCCTAGCTGGGTGTGGTGGCACACTCCTGTAATACCAGTACTTGGGAGGCTGAGGCAGGAGGATCATTGCAAGTTCGAGGCCAGCCTGGGCTACAAAGTGAGCTCAAGGCCAGCTTGAACTGCACAGTGAGGCCCTGTCTCAAAAAGACAAAAAAAAAAAAAAAAAAAGAAATTCCTGCTGGGCATGATGGCACATGCTTTCATTCCCAGAACTCTGGGAAGCTGAGGCAGGAAGTCACAAGTTTGAGCCCAACCTGGACAACTTACCAGTTTAGTGAGACTCTGTCTCAAAAAATAAAAAAAAAGCTGGGAGGTAGCTCTGTGTGAAGGACTTGGGTTCAGTGCTCAGAACCGCCACCACCACCACCCAAAAAAAGCCATATGGTTCAGTGTACAATGGACATAGCAAACAGTATGAATATTCACCCTAAATGATATCAGTATAGATTGTAAATAGCCTCATAGGTCAGATTTTGGTGTCAAAGCAACATCGTGCTTTGTAAAAGCCTTTGGAATGTGGAGCTGTTCTTCAGAACTGCCAAAAAATGGCAGGCCTCTCATGGTCATGACAGCTGTGGATAGCACCAGGCTGTTTCTTGTTTTTGTTTTTGGTTGTTTTTTTTTTGGTTTTTCTCCGGTACCGGGAACCGAACTCACGACCTTGCGCGTGCCAGGCAGGCGCTTTGCCACTGAGCTAAATCCCCAGCCCCTGTTTTTTGTTTATTCATGAACTCATTTCACCCTTACAATACCTGTAGGAGAGGAATCCAATTATTATTCCTGTTTCACAGTTAGGGAAACAAGGCCCAGAGAGGTACAAATATCACACAGCTAGTAAGTGGCAGAGATGGGATTTGAAGCAGGTTGCTTCCAATCCTTGCCTCCCAGCACTTACCAGCTGCTCTGGGCCCAGAGTCCTTGTGGGACTCAGGGCTGAAGGTCATGGAGAAGGGAGACAGGCCATTGGAGCTGACAGGGAAGGAGGAGCAGCTGGCATCGCTGGGGCTGAGGGATGAGGAAGAGATGGAGGCCTTGCTGCAGAGAAAAGCCATAGTTAGGCAATGGAGGTCTCAGAGGCAGTGTGCTGGGCCGCAGCGGTAGGAGTGGGAGGGGTGACGGGGTGGGGCGGGCACCTGCGTTTGAGCAGCGTGGCAGCTCTGCTTTGTAGGCTCAGTGTCTCCAGGTCCAGCAGGGATGAGTTCCACGTGTTCAGGCTCTGTGGGGTAAAAGGAGTCAGAGGTCAGCCTCTACCCCAAAGGCTGCTGAGAAAGGAGCTCTGGACAGAGGGCCTGAAGGTCTACAGTAAGTGTTTCTCTCATGATCTGCTTCTTCTCAAGGAAGAGAGGCCTAGTGGTCCTCTTTGGATTCATACCCTTCGTTGAAAACTGACCTCACCTTCATGACCAGACCTGATTATCAAAACAGCCTATCTTCTGGCTCACAGTAATTGGTCCAAGGATGAACAAATAAGAGTGAGCCCCAGGGATTTAGAGGGAGCTATTGCAAAAGCTCCCCCTTCCCACTGCAGAAGCTGAGTTAGCACCACGGGAGCCTAAAGCCACGCGGTGCCATCTGGGTTACTGTGAGGGGAAAGCCTGTCTGCAGCTGAGCCCAACAAAGAGAAACACAGAACCAAGAGAGCTGGGTTGCTCCCAACATTGCGCAAACACCTGGATCTGGCCATGCCTGAAAGCATCTACTTTTAGAGCTCCAAAGTATATTTAACAAATCATCTTTCCTTGTTTGAGCTTCCTAGAGTTAGGGACTGGCTCTAATTCTATCCCAAGGCTGGTACTGGCAGTTCAGGCACACAGGGGAAGGAGTGGATGAGGATGTCACCTGCTTTATTTTCTGAAGGGGAGCCACTGCCTGGGATGTGCTGACAATCTTGGCTGGAGCTGGGACTGCTGGACTGGGTCTTCCCTCTGGTTTACTGGGTCCTGCTCAGAAACCTGAGTTAAGTTACAGCAGCCAGGAGAAGTAGCTGCAGGGAGCACTAATCAGGAAATATTTTAAGCTAGGGGTGGCTGGGACCAAAGAAGGTACCTGCTGCAAGTTGACTGCTGGGGTTTGAAGACTCAGTCTGCAGCCACCAAAAATCAGCTGGGATTGGGCCTGCACACTGTCGTTCCTCTCGGCTTGTGGGCTGAGCTTGGCGGAACCTATTTATATACCTGTGAAGAGGGCCAAATAATAATAATAAGGAGGAGGAGGAGGAGGGGAGAAGGAGGAGGAGAAGAGGAAGAGGAGGAGGAGAAAGTAGAGAAGGAGGAGAAGAAGAAGAGGAAGAGAAGGAAGAGGAGGAAGAAGATGAAAAAAAGAAGGTGAAGGAGGAGAAGAAAAATAAGGATAGTCAATGTTCGTAAAATACCTTGGAAAGTGATATTCAGCAGCCCAGACAAAAACAACTGCTTCCTAAGTGGTCACCAAAGCAAGCAGTTGTCTTCAATATTTATTTTCCTTTCTTATATGGTAACACAATTTTTATTTTTAGCCTATCTATCTATCTATTCATTTATTTTTTCCAGTAGCAGGAATGGAACTCATGACCTCACGTTTGCCAGGCAGGCACTGTGCCGCTGAGCTAAATCCCCAGCCCCTTAGCCTATTTATCTATCTATCTACCTATCTATCTATCCATCTGGTAGTATTGAGGATTGAACCCAGGGCTTCGTACATGCTAGGCAAGAACTCTACCACTGAGCCACAATGCACTGAGTCTGGTAACTCAATTTTTAGCTGGGCACATAGTCACTGTTCAATGAACTATATTTACCAGGTGACTTGTGACCAACAGGTAATGAGGAGATGCGATTTTGGAAAGTTGATGTAGTGAGGAGCTATTTTGGTCCATGAAGAAAAGGACAATAGCCTATGTATAAGAAAGCAAAGATTAAAGGAATCTATAAGCCTTAAACCTCAAGAAAGGGCTGCAATATCAGCCTTGGTTGCTTCTGCTTAGACCATTATGTGAGAGAAAAATAAATGCTATCTTTTTAAGCCACAATTAACTTGGGACTCTGTTTCAGTGGCTGAACCTGTACCCTACAAACCCAAGTACTATGTGGCAAGCACTATTATAGATCATCATATACAGCAACTCACTGAAAGCTTAAAATAGTTTTAAGGGACCAGGACACAGTAGCGCATGCCTGTAATCCTAGCACTTGGGGAGGCTGAAGCAGGAGGAGCACAGGAAATTTAAGGAGCACAGGAAGTTTGAGCCTAGCCTAGACAACTTAGCAACTTAGTGAGACTCAAAATTTTTAAATGCATAAAGGGCTGGAGACGTAGCTCAGTGATAGAATACCCCCAGATTCAATGACCTAGTACCTCCAGGCGTAGGGATGTATACCTGTAATCCCAGCACTTGAGAGGCTGAGGTAGGAGGATGAGTTCAGGCCACCCTGGACTACATACATAGTGAGTTTAAGGCCAGCCTGAACTACATAGAGAGACCCTGTCTCAAAAGAAAAAAAGTCCCTGAGGATCATGAAGAAAAACAAATTGGGCACTGTTAATGTGCCCAATTTAAAGAAGAAACCAAAGCCAAGATCAGGCAGATTTGAACCCAGGTATTCTAGCTCCAGAGCTCTTAACGTACATGAAGTACCTGGTCCTAACAGCACTGCATAGGCAGCTCTCTATGATGATTATTATGGAGTTCCTTCCTCTAAATTCTCCTTCCTCCTCAGGGCTTCTGGTACTTACTTGGCCACCACAGACTCCCCGCTGTCAATCAGGGTGGGTGATGAGGAGGGCCCCATTTGTCCCTCAGTGGTGCTGGGTGGGGATGAGGTCTCTGAACTCGAAGGCCAAGACTCCTCAAACAGCTCAGAGGAACTAGATGACATGTTGGAAGCTTGTGGGAGCCTGGAGCTCCGGGAGCTGGATAGGATCAAGACCTATGATAGGGGAGCATAAAGAAGAAAAGTGAGGTCTGAGGGGTCATCCCTGTAGGAAACAAAGATCTCATATAAAGCCTCAGTCCAGAGGGGAGGAAACATATCCCACAGTGTTGCTGCTGGTAACAACCTAGAGTGACTGGAGCTGTGATGAGGGATCCAGGTGGAAAAGGGAACGCCATGGGAGAGAGGGAGAGGCTGTTTCTTCATCTCTCATCACATGCCCTCTTTAGTGGTCACTCCCTTGCTACGAGGTTGGTGCCCAACACTCTCTATGCAGTGTCTTCACCTTGGGACATCAGGTCTGACTGCAGGATAGCCAAGAGTGGCTTCGATCCAGAGAAGCATCTCCAAAGGGGCAGTCTTGGATGGAGAAAACTGGTTGGGAGGCAGAATATAGCATGTGTACAGTGTGTAATGATCAAATCAGGGTAATTGCGTTTCCACCTCCTTAAACATTTCCCAGATGATTCTGAAGTTCATGTTAAGAACCAGGACTACATGCCAGACATTGTGGGGCACACATAAAATCCCCGCACTTGGGAGGCTGAGGCAGGTGGATTGTTGCAAGTTCAAGACCAGCCTGGGCTACAAAGTGAGCTCAAGGCCAGCCTGAACTGCATAGTGAGACCCTGTCTCAAAAAGACCAAAAAAAAAAAAAAAAAACCAAAAAAAAACAAAAACAAAAACAAAAAAAAGGACCACGACTACACCGTATACTGTATATTACCTACAAATCCGGGGTGGTCGTGGTGCTGGGGTGCTAGGGAAAAGTATTGATGGACTACAATCCCCGTGATTCACTGGACTCTACCTAAGGGAAAAAAATTCAAAGACAACACCAATGGGTGTTTTGAGGAATTTCAAAATTAAGAAACCTTTGAACACCTTTAGGGGAAATAATCTCTTAGGGCTACCCAGAGAGAAGAATATAAAACTTTTGGGGGATCCTCCAGATAGTGAAGTACAAGGTAGGAGCAACCAAATGCTGTGAAGCATCTTGAGAGTTGTAGTTCCAATGTTAAACCCGAGACTCTGGACCCTAAGGAAACTTGTGTTGCCCTCGCTTTTGATCCTCCCCAGGCCTCCAGTGGTCTGTGGAAGAGGGATCGGCCTCACCTGCGGTCCATCCGGCAGCCACAACAGCTCCTGCGCCCGCTCTGCTCTTTCACTGGACAGACCCGGAGCGCCTCTTTGTCGCTTAGCAATGCTCTATGAGCCCCGCCTCTCTCTGGGAGTGCTTGTTTAGGAAGAGGGCGGCCGCACAGGCCACCAATGATAGAGAGGAAAATAAAAGTTCCTGGAAAGTGGCCAACGGGAGACGTCTTATGATTGGCTCTAAGGAAGACCTTCCTGACAGCACATGTTTGATTGGAGAATCTGTAGCAAGCAGCAGTAATTGGCAAGACCACAAACCAATAAAAAGGATTTGAAGCTGGGCTTGCGATTGGAGGCGATATAATGTCTCCTCGTGTTCCTGAAATCTGGTATACTAACTGCTTTCCTTGTGGCTGCTGAGTCTTTGTCCTGGTTTTATATTGTTTTATCTGTTGCAGGAACAATCGGGGAGTCGCACTCTTAAATAACTGCCTCCATCAGTTGGGCCAGTCAGCCCGTCTTGACGGTTACCTAACCACTTTGCTCTTTTTTTTTTTTTTTTCCACTTTGCTCTTGTTGCAGGAGCTAGTCAGAATACAGGCAGCTGGTCCCACCGCTTGCCAGGCCCGGGCTCCTGGCCCAGGTAGTAGGATCAAAAGGAGCTATTTCGGGACCCGGCGTGCGGCCCCTGGGGGGCCAGCATGGAGTGTTCCTGCTCACGCCCCGCTGGATGCGGAGCATCCGAGGCTGAGTCAGAGGCACAGAATTAGGCCCGCTTGAAGATGGGGGTGGGGTCTGTTCTGTATCCTGCTGTCAGCCTGGCCTGGCTACTGCATTCTCCAGGAATCTGCTCCTAAGACTTCCATCTGCGTCATCCTCAGAACAGCCAGTGGGGAGGGAATGTATTAAGAGGACGGGGGACTCACTGGTTGGCCCTCAGGCCCTAGGTCCCAGTTGCCACTTTGTGTCCCCTATACCCGCAGAGCTCTGCTTCCTTAGCCTCAGTTTCCCCTCCAGGAAATTGAAGGACCTTAATAACATTTCTCTGGCGTCCTTTTCCAGATATCTTGCAGGCACTTAATAAATGGCCAAGTCATTATTGGGGTTTCTAAATAAGGCTCGACTAATGGCCGAGTCTGGCTGCCCTCCCAGTGTCCCCGGGAGGCCCGCCGAGAGGCCGGCACACAGCGCACTATAAATCGGCGGCCGCGCACATAGGGGCACTGCGGGTCCCAGGACTACCGTGAAGGAGCAGGATGGAGATCCCGGTACCTGTGCAGCCGACTTGGCTGCGCCGCGCTTCGGCCCCCTTACCCGGACTGTCCGCGCCTGGTCGCCTCTTTGACCAGCGCTTCGGCGAGGGACTGCTGGAGGCCGAGCTGGCTTCGCTCTGCCCTGCTGCGCTCGCCCCCTACTACCTGCGCGCCCCCAGCGTGGCGCTGCCCACCGCCCAGGTGCTAGGCCTCGGGGAGGGGCAACTTGGGCACTTGCGGGCTGCAGAAATGTCCTTGGATTTTAGCGTAGTGGAGAGAGCGCGGCCACTCGGATGGGATTCTCGAGCATGAAACGTGAGGCCAGGGCATAGAAGGGAGTGGGAGGTCCCTGCGGCTCTCAAGGGCCGGGAAGGGCCCCCAGGGAATTGTTAATGGTTCTGAAGGAGGCTGGTCACCCAGGGGATCTGGGGGAATGGACAGGCAGTGACTCCTGAGACACTGAAACGCTATTAGCCGCGGAGAATGGAGACTGTGGTGACCCTAGGTTCCCTGGATGGGCGAAGGGGAGAAAGTGTGCTGTGACTTAATGAAGGGGTCCTGGTCACTCTGCAGCGGAGGCAGGGGACCAGTAACTGTTGAGAGCGCCTTAGTACGCGAGTGGGAAGGTAAAAGAGAATTCTGGAGATTGGGAAAAGAGGCAGCTTAGCGACTTCTGGTGGGGGTGGGGAACAAGGGCCGGGCGAAGGGTGACTCCAGAGAGTGACGCTGCGATGAGGACAGGCTTGCCACCCTGCGGAGGAGGAGGTCCCTGACCTTGAAGGGGAGGGAAGCCCATCACTCTATGTGAAGGGAATTCAGTGATTACAGTGGGAGGGAGGATCCTAGTTATTGTGGGTGAAGAGGCTCTCGGTGACTCAGTATGTAAGGGGACCCTGTAAGTCGGTAGGCCTCAGGAAGCTCTAGCACCGGTACCAAAGGGGTGCGGCCCAGCTGGCTGACAGCCCCGCCCCACGCCGGCTGTGCGCAGGTGTCGACCGACCCGGGCCACTTCTCGGTGCTGCTGGACGTAAAACACTTCTCGCCGGAAGAAATAGCGGTCAAGGTGGTTGGTGAGCACGTGGAGGTGCACGCGCGCCACGAGGAGCGCCCGGTGAGCCGCGGGCGGGGTGGGGCGGGGCGGGGCCCGGGCAGCAGGCAGGGGTGGCCGGCTCAACACTCTCCCCTGCAGGACGAGCACGGATTCATCGCTCGCGAATTCCACCGCCGCTACCGTTTGCCACCCGGCGTGGACCCTGCCGCCGTAACCTCAGCGCTGTCCCCCGAGGGCGTCCTGTCCATCCAGGCCACACCAGCGCCAGCCCAGGCCCCACTGCCGTCACCGGCTGCTGCCAAGTAGGGGTACAGGCGTGCCTGGATCTTGGGAGCTGCTTTATGCTACCACTTTCAAAGCCAATCTGACTCCACTCAGCCAGATGTCCCCACGGCGTCAAGACAGCCTCTCCCACCCAAGAAGAGATTCCACCTGACCCCCCCACCGTAGAGCCAGCCTTTGATAACCTAGACCCTCTACTGACACCCCCTGCTGTAATCCCCTTCCCACACCTTGCTATAAGCACTACCCTCACCTCAACCTCATCTCCTATCTTGGTTTATATCCCCACTCAGAATTTCCTTGATTCCTATGAAACATCCCCACTCCACTTCTATCCCTTGCCAGCTCTCACAGCAGATTATGATGTAGACAGCCCTGCCCCCATGCCAGGGGAGTCAGGCATAAAGCCCACTCCCACCCCTGAATGTCCCACACTGCAATCTTCCCACTGCACGCTGTCCAGGCCTCCTGGTGCCTAAGATTCTTGATCCTTTCCCTGGTACCAGAAACTCCACTGCCCTCAGCCCATTTCCTGACTTGAAACCCCAACCAGCCGTTCAGACTCTTGAATCCTATCCTGATGCCCAATTCCTGCTATACCTATTCGAGGCTAACTGGGACCCCCAACCTCAAATTGTACAGACACCCTTTCCAATTTCCCATTTGCCCAGATGTGCAATTAAACAGACCCCCCTCCTCAATTAAACAGACCCCTACAGTCCCTTTGTCCTGACCCCAGGTTTCTAACCAGATCTTCTAGGGAACCCACCTTCCACACTCTTCTTAACCTCCATAACCCAACCAAGGAATCACTCATTTCCTCATTGAATTCTCTGCTATCCCATGCCCCTACTCCTTCCTAGGCTTGTGCCCAATAAATGTGCAAAAGTTGTGCCCACTGCTTTATGTCTGGGCCAGGAAGGATGGGCTGAAGCACAGGCCAGTATGGGGCTGGGGGATGTTTATTGGGGTGGGGGCCTGGGAATATATCACTGTCGATCGTACATCTCCCGGAGAATCTTCATGCTTTCTGAATAGCGAAGCTGGTTCCGATGAGATGCCTCCTTCCACCTGGGGAGGTAGAGGGAAGATGCAGCAACAGCAGCAAGAGGTCATGAGGGCCGGCAGGTTGAGGGATGCTCACCTCTGGCGAATGCGTTTCCAGCGCTGCATGTTTCGATAAATGAGTATGGAGGGTGAAGGTTCTGGCTCTGAGGGCTGTGGGGAGAGAGGCCAGGCTGGGTGATTATGCTGGTGTCCCCCACATGTTCCCCATAGCCTCAGGCAGGCCTTGTATACCCACCTCATCGTCCGGGGTGCCCTGGGTCTCAGGTTGCAGTGGGGATGGAATGCGGGATCTGCAGGCATCTCCAGGTGGCCCAGGGGCTGTAGGTGGAGGCAGCTTGTACACATCACGACTCTTATTGTTGGTGACCTCAGAACCCTGGAGACACAAAGTCCCAAACCATGCCAAAGAGTCAGAGCAGAGGGCTGGGAATATACATTTCATCCCTCCTGCCTTTCCCAGTGATAAGACCTGAAGATTTTGCCAAGAAATCTATATTTCCAAGAGTTGTACTCGAAGCCTAAGGGATCAGCTTCATCTGCTCCAGGAACCCCTGTCTTCAAACCCTTGCTTACTCTTACCAGTCCAGAGAACCCCCAAATACACCTGCCAGTCCACCCCCCATGGAAGGTCTTGTCTGCTGTCTGCCTCAGTGGATTCTATCTGGGGGTTCTTATCTTGTTGCCCTGGAACCCCCTTCCACAACAGCCATTTCTGCTCTGATCCTGACCTTCAAAGGATCATGTATCTGTGCTGGGGACCCCTGTCCACCTTCTCAGGCCAGGTGATTTACCCTCTCTATCCCTACCCAGCCCAGAGGGTCCCCATCTGCTCACCATGCCACCTAGTAACCACACCTGTCAATCTCTGTCCAGCCCTTTAGCTCTTAGAGACCTTTAATCCGTGGTCACGTCTATCTGCCCAGGGAACCCTGTTCCCATCTCCTGAGGCCACATCTGTCTGCCCTAGGGACCTTTGTGCACACCCCTAGACACACATATGTATGTTTTACTTGATCCAGTATTCCCTTGGGAGACAGAGGAACCTGTGTTCATCTTCCATTAGTTGGGAGGGAGGGGCCCTTGAGCCTGTCCCACCCATTACCCTCCCTTGCTGCTGCCCATCACCCATCCCACCTCCTCATCCTCAGGCAGTGAGGGCAGTGGTGAGCTGGGTGAGCGTTCATGCTCACGCACTGAGGGGCTATTGCGCATCCAAGCTCGGCAGATTGGGTACAGTGGTGTGTTCTCGCTGAACTGGGCCAAGTCCACACTCCGGTCAAACAGTTTGATCACATATGTGTCTGGGGTGGAGGGAGGGAGGTAAGTGAGTATCCTCATATGGGCCCTTGGCTCCCTGTCTACCCGCTAGAACAACTGCTTACTCACTGGATCGCTGAGGCCCTCCCTCAGCCAGCCCATCATCCATCTCCCGCCTCTTCTTCCTCCGCTGGTGGGGGAAGCGGGCAGATGGCCTGCGTGGGGAGGGGGAGTGTCAGGACCAGGGCTGGGGCTGAGAATCTCTTGAGCTGTCTGGGACCCTTGTCACCTTACCTTTTGCCAGTGGCTGCAATGGAGCAATCCCTGTGGGGAAAGACTGGGTGTCAGCAGACTGCCCCTCAAACAAAACTCAAAAGGTATCTTAGGGGCTATTGAGATCCCTTGGACCTTGTGTACACCCATACCCTTGGGGCTTTAGGTGCCAAACACGAGGGGACCCAGTTGTTTTTGTCATGGCCTTTGTGCATGTGGAGTGGTTAGGTCTGTGATGGAGGAAGCACAAGGCAGAATGGTCAAGGCATGGATGAAGGAAGAAGTTACCCACCACAAACCCTTAGACCCAGATCCTGCAAAACACCTTACTTGTTGTGGGTATCAGAGGGAGTTTTCCCAGCTTCCTCATCCAGGCGCTCCCTGGCAGCAGAAGAGGACAGTTGGCTTGGGGTTCCCAGGGTCCAGAGTGGGACAGTATCAAGTGGCCTTCCCATAAGACACCTTTCTCCCTAAGTCAGCCTTTGAAGTCCCATGCAGATCCACCCAGAATCAGAGGGTCCCACCTGCCAAAGCTGCCAGCCCCAGGACCCCGGGATGGACCATGTGACAGGTCCCAACCTGTCCATGTGACTCTTCTCCAGAAGACACTGCAAAACAGCATCCAGTTGGTTCCGTGCTTTGGCCATCTCCAACTCTAGGGGAAGAAGGAACCAAGCAGAAGTCAGCTCTGTAGGCATATCCTCTGTCAGGGCCAATGGTATGGCTTGACCCAGGCTTGCTAAAAGGTAGCAGTGAGGAGAGACCAAGAGGCACAAGGGTTCCCTACATTGCTCAGAAGATAAGTTGAAGACAGGAGTTGAGGCCACTGAGACTAAAGCAAAGAACCTTGGGCAGGAGCCAAAGATATGGATCATACCCACATCTCTGTCCTCAGCTTGTGCTTATCTCCTGAACCCATGACCTGGACACCTACCTCTGGATATCCCCCAGGCCACTGATGGTGAATCTTTTAGGACTTTCAATGATAACAAACAGCTGGCTGGGCATGTGTGCCATAGGTTCCACCACCAGGGTCCTAGGTCTTTCTATCCACTGGGCTGCACACTGACCTCAGTATCTAAATCTACCCTTCTTCTCAGACTCCCAAGAAGGATGACCACATTGTTCCCCAGTTCCTTCATGAGCCTCACTATGGACACCTCTCTCCCTCTCCATTATTTGTAGTCAGGCTCCCTTTACTTTTGCCTGCTGTTCCTTCAATACACCAGACAAGGCTTCCATTTCGGGGCTTTTTCCAAGCCTCTTCCTTTGCAAATTGCATTTCAGGGCTCCAGGAGGATCAGAGCCCTCTCACAGAATTCTCTTAGAGCTAAGACCAAGACCTTCTCTGGGTGGCCCGTGTTTCTTTTTTTCCTGGTACCGGGAATCAAACTCACGACCTTGCGCTTGCCAGGCAGGCGCTGTACCTCTGAGCTAAATCCCCAGCCCCAAGCCTCTTCCTTTGCTCCACTGGCTGTTCCTTCATATACCCTCATGGCTTTCCCACACCTTGCCCTACTCCAGACCGCCTTACCTTGTCCCATCTTGGAGTCCCCCCGCACCCCCTGCCTCCTTAAATTTAAGAGGCAGGATCTCACTGTGTTACCCAGGGAGGCCCTGAACTCCTGGGCTTCAGCGATGCTCCTGTCTCAGACACCCGAGTACCTAGGACTAGAGGCTCATGTTACCGCACCCAGCTCCTGCCTTGCTTTGTTCTAAACCTATCTAAAATCCCATTTATCTGACATCCTACATGCTCCTCCCCATCCTTACCATTCTGGTGTTGGATTTCCATCAACTCTGCCCTAACCCAGAGCTTTAGATTCCCCATCCACTGCACTTCCTACTTCCTAAATTTATTAGAATTTAGTGATTGTGAGAATTCAGAGTCCCTGTACCTCAGGGTCATAGCACAATCCCCAATTCATGACTACTTCCGGAACGAGGTTTGGAGCCAAGAAAAATGCCCTTCTCAGAGTCACCAGCTTGGGATGCACATGCCTTTCAATCTCAAAGCTACAAGCACAGTCTGGGAGTGTACGAAGGTGGCAGCAAAAAGCTCACTACCTGACATAGCACTTGTCAGATGGGTTGCAGGGAGAAGTCACGCAGTTGCCTTTTCAGGACAATCCTGTCTGTCGGGCCGCCCAAATCCTGATCGGCCGGTATCTCCCTTACAGGGTCCGGGCCTAGGGGTCCTCACCTGATTTTTCCACTTTCACCTTCACCGGGAACATGGTTTGGTCCGGAGTCTAGCTATCTAGCTCGAAAAAGCCCCAAAGAGGCTAGGGTCCGGAGGCGGGCGGGAGAGGTCAAAGCTAAGCTCCAACTACGGATAGCCTTCCGGCCCCAGCACTGTCCAGTAGTGACTGCTGCCGCTACCACTTCCCTTCTCCCCCTGTGGGTGGGCCTTTCAGCAGTCGATTCTTTCCATTAGTCAATGAATTCCTCAATCTCCTTCTCTGACCAATTGACAACTGCCGCTGGAGGCTCCCAGCCTTAAATCCCACCTTCCTGGGGCCCCGTTTCCGGAAACAAACCAACGATAAGGCAGGGCGCTTCCTGGAAGGTGTACACAGAGTAACGCTGATGGCGCGAGGCACACTGGGAACTAAGGCTCCTGCGTCGCGAGGCTTCATGGGACTTGTAGTGTTAGGCTTGACAAACGCCAATTTAGCTACTTAACAGGATTTGACCAACAGTGGAACTCCTTCTAGTCCCTAAGAGGAAGACTAGAGTTAGGTTGGGTCCCTTTTTTCAATCTACTCGCTATGTCCCAGCTGTTAATGTGTTTTCAGGTACAACCTCATTATTTAGCAAACATTCGTGTGCCAGATGTTCATCTAGGCAGTGGGGATAGACAAAACCTCGACAGGAGAAGGAACGTTGCGTGAATTGGTCATAGGAGAGTCGAATTTGATATTGAAATTCTGAATAGGAAGGACAAGGGATGCTGGGTGCGGTAGTGTACACCTGTAATCCCAGCACTGGGGTGCTGAGGCAGGAGGCTGCTTGAGTTTGAGGCTAGCCTGGGCTACATAGCAAGACCCTGTCTCAAAAAACAACAACAACAACAAAAACACACACACACACACACACACACAAACAAAAAAGGAAGGCTTCTCTGAGAAAGTTCTTGAATATATCTATTAAGACAGACCTCCCCCCCAAAAGACACATCACTTCCTTTAGAGAATGAGAAACTTCTGTTTGCCACATACGTCTTGGCCCAGATAAAGCTTAGGAGGTACCATCATGATCTGCATTCTGTTAGGAATACTAAAGCCCAAAGTAGGTAAAGACACAAACTTTTGTTTGTGGTACTGGGAATCAAACATAGGACCTCATGCATGCTAGGCAAATGCTCTACCACTGAGCTGCATCCCTAGTCCTGAAAGTCATTTTCTGAATTAACAGCTACCAGAACAGCAGCCCCCAGAAATGGAAGCAGTATTTCTTTCCTAGTTCCTCATTGATAAAATAGGGATCCTGAGCAGAAATTCCTATTTCAGAGGGTTGGTTATGTTTGGTACTCAGTGGGAAAAAAAAATACATGTAATGTGCGAAGCATTATTCATGGTATGAAGTAAACACTCAATGCTTTAAAACAATTTTTCTTCTGTGGTGGGATTGAGCCCAGGAACTTCTCACTGAGCTACATCCCCAGCCCTTTATTTTATTTTAATTTTTAATTTTGAGACAGGGTCTTCCAAGTCCCTAAGTCGCCCAAGCTGGGCTTCAATTTTTGATCTTCCTGCTCCAGGCTCTCAGAATGCTGGGATTACAGGGGTATATCACCACCACACCAGCTAATTAATGTTTTATGCTTCAACCTCCAAAGATCCCAGGAAGGCAGTATCGAATGTTAAGGTCCTTTATTGGGGGATGTCAGCAAAGAAGATGGGAGCTGGGCACAACTTTTACAAGTCTGAGGCTTGACAGTAAGCTCAGAGCAGAGGAGCCCATCCTGGGACAAAGAGCAAGTCGCCATCCTGTGCTGAAGTTGTCATGGGGTCCCCAAAGGTATGGTAAAGGAGAGGTAGTCCCCAAGGGCACCCCAGCGAGGCCGGTAGATCTGGAAGATGGTGATCCAGGTGGTGAGCACAATTACCCAGAAGAGGAAGCCCACAGCTGAGCGCCAGACATCTACAACAGAGAGCAGAATGGGGAGAGGGTTGGCCTCCAGCTCCTCTCTTGACTCTCTTAGATCCACCCTCTCTTTTTTTGTTGTTGTTGTTTTCTTCCGGTACCAGGAATCGAACTCATGACCTTGCACTTGCCAGGCAGGCGCTTTGCCGCTGAGCTAAATCCCCCAGCCTCCGCCCTCTCTTCTGTCTCACAGGGCCATCATCCCCTCCCACCACCCACCGGCGTTCCGCATCAAGCCCTAGACTCACAGCCTTTGATTTGGCTCTGCTCTGTGTAGGCTGGAACAAGGAAAGCCTCTCGGAAGAACCAGAAGATGTTGACCAACCACAGAAAAGGCAGGAATGCAAAACCACCTAAGGAGAAAAATCCACACTGGGTCACAGAATAATGAGGATCTTCCCCAACACCCACATACAATACTTATTTTGAAGGTCCTCTCCCATACCAAAGTTCAACTGAAAACTTCTGTGGTCAGGAGCTCAGGGATCCTAGGTCTTCCCTGGGGTCCAGGAATCTGATTTCTCAACGCCCTCTTTCTCAGGACTCAGGAATTCAGCCCTCCAACCCTCCTCTCTCCGAGGGCAGAAATTGAGGCTTCAGCTTTCTTCTTCCTCAGGACCCAGGCCCTCCCTTCTCTCAGACCCAGGAGTCTGCGTCTTCACCTACTTTACCCCTCAGATCCACGAATCCATGTCTCTAGTCCCTTTCCTTTTCCTTGAGCCCTAGAGGATCGGTGCTTACCCAGATAGTACTTCCGGCACAGGTTCAACTTCTCCTCATTGGAGACCCGCTCCAAGTTCATCGCTGCGTTGAAGTCTGGTCGTCCCACGAGCCTGCGGAGCAAAATTCAAGTGACAGATGCTAGGATCACGAACAACCACGCCCCTATTACAACAAAAAGATAAGTTTAGGGGTGGGTTTGCTGAAAAAGGGGCACTTTCCGCTCCCACCAGCAAGCTCTCCGGGTTAAAAACCTCTATATTTATTGGGGTGCGCTAAACGATTCCTAACTCACCAGTGGTTGTTTCCGCTGCCTTGGACGCCTTTACTATTTTCAGCCACTGAAGTCTGTGCGAGAGGCCGCAGGTTTTTCTGGAGCTTGTAGTCTTTTTTTTTTGGCGAGGTAACGCTATACGCATGCGCTGCAACCAAACTCCCGTGATGGGGTGGGGCGCGCTCTGGCCTCCAAGACGCTTGCGTACTAGGGAGTTTCTGCCGGCGAGGCGAGCGGCCGGAGGCAGTGATAAACTACACTTCCCAGCGCTCCTACGCAACGGAAGTGACGCAAGGAGCAGCTGGGTTGGGAGGGTTTGGGTAAAAATGATTGAATATTTAGCTTCGTTATTCGGGAGTAAGGACAAATGAGAACAGGCACAGGAAGTGGCCTTCCGGGGGGCCAGGGCACTTGGGTCTTTGGTAGCTGGGCGGTTTTGGGGTGGTATTTCTGGGGTGTTCGGCCTCCTCGGACCTCAGTTCATCTTTATCTTTTGCACCCTTCCAGGGTTAACTGCTCTTTTTACTTTAAGGTCGGGGCGGGGCTGCCGGCAATGGAACCAGTGCTCCCGGCTTCTCAACAAGCCGACGTTCAGCCAGACCCGGTATGGAACTTCGGGTTCCCAGGCCTTCCTCTTCTGTTGTCCGTCATCACAAAGTCCCGCCTTTTCTGGGCTCCTAAGGCCCAGCCCTAGAAACCCACTACTTTCTGGTTAGACCTCTCTGCAGATTCTTTGTCCAAGTTTCAGGACCTTCTCCCAGAAATTTAGTCATGCCCCCATACGTAGAGACTTGTCACACTCAACTCATTTCTTCCTTTTTTTTTTTTTTTTTGAGACAGTGTCTCAGGCTGGCCTCGAACTCATGTCGATCCTCCTGCCTCAGCCTCCCTAGTGCTGGGTTTATAAGTGTGTGCAACCATGCCCAGCACACTCTTATTTCTTAGCAGCAAGCATTGCTGAAGCACACATGATACTTAAATTCCTGCTCAGGTGCAAAGTTACCCCCACCCAAACCTTCATATCCCACTCTCTGCACGCAGCCCTGCTCTCAGAGCTCAGGTACTGCCCCTTTTAAATATGTACAAACTATAGTGCTGCATAACCTGTACCAGAATCCACAAGACACGGCCCAAACCCCAGACAGATCACACTGCAAAGTCAGGGATATAGCTGAGTGGCACAGCGCTTGCCTGGCAAACACAAGGTCATGAGTTAGATTCCCGGTACCAACACACACACACACACACACACACACACACACACACCCCACACACACACCCCACACACACTGTAGGGGACCAGGCAGAGCAGGAGCAGGGTGGCCAGCCCCCAGCAGGCTACTCCTCTGATTCCACCCTGCCGTTTCCTGCAGGTCACGTGAGCGATGTAGAGGTGCAGAACGCTCGGATAGCTTCTTTGAGGTGAGGGTCAGCAGGGTAGGTTGGGTTTTCTGTGCTCCAGGAGCTTAGCTGAGTTTTTCCTGGCCTTCCTCAGGAGGTGTTCATGGAACTGCAGGAGAAGTGTAGGGAGATTGAAGAGATGAATATGCCAACTTGGGGGACCACCCCTTAGGCAATATCTTATGTCAAGGCACCTGCTGTCCCCTCCTTAGAGCCCAGAAATGGAGGCATGACCGATCCCCTGAAAATCTCCCATTTCCTTGGCCAACCCCTACCCACTTTCCTCTGTTCCAGCGGGAGGAGGATGCAGTGAGGGCAGTGGCTGAACTCAGTAACCACTGTGGCTGTGCATGCTGCCTTCTGTCACTGACTTCCTGTCATCAGTATGACACAGGGTATGGTAATGCAAGGGTGGGACAGACACTTGGAGTCCCAGACACTGGAGTGTGTGGTGGGAGGCTGTCAGTGACAGTGGCCTCCTTCATTTATCCTCCAAGGGAATGTACTTGAGCTAGCATCTGCAACTTCATGCGCCTTTGACCCATATCCTGGGACCTCTGGCAGCCGCTTTTTGGGTGAGGATTCAGGTGCAGGTACTGTCACCAGTTAGTGTGGGCCCTTGGTTTAATGATAATGGAAATCAAAATAAATGCTGGGCATCATGGCACACCCCTGTTAATTCTAGCACTCTGGGAGGCTGAATCAGGAGAATCACAAGTTCAAGCCGAACCTGGGTAATTTATCAACTTAGCAAGACCCTATCCCCAAAAAAGGGCTGGAGCTGTAACTCAGGACAAAACCCTAGGTTTATTCACCATTATGAAAAAAAATCAGGCTGGTCCCTTTTTTTTTTTTTTTTTTTTTTGTGGTACCAGGAATTGAACTCAAGACCTTGCACTTACCAGGCGGGCACTTATACCCCTGAGCTATATCCCCAGCAGTGCTGGTCCCTTGAGAAAGGAAAATAAGAGAAAATAGGGAAAGAACAACAGTGGGTAGCTAGAGAGGCATACTCTGAAGAAGAGGATCACAAAAGAATGAAGGCCAGTTTTATGCTTACTGCAGTGGGCTGAGATCTGATGATTCATGATCTCAGTCCTTGTTTCATAGCTCTGGAGGAACTCTCATGACTTGGAAAGCAGTTCAGTTCCCCTGAGATAATCCTCACGAATTGGGGAGCAATTTAGTTCTGTGAGGCTCTGATGGAATTTTCTGGGCACAGGATAGTTGAATGCCCCTGTAAATCTCTTATCCTGGTGTCCTCAGTCTTTTTTTTTTTTTTTTCAGTACCGGGAATCAAACTCACGACCTCACGCTTGCCAGGCAGGTGCTGTGCCGCTGAGCTAAATCCCCATCCCCATGTCCTCAGTTTTGAAGGGTGATGAGATAGGCTAGGTAAGTTTAGGGCTAACAAACCCTGTTTTGCCAACTTTTAGAAGATTTTTCCTAAATGACTAAAATGCCTATATGCAGAGCTGAGGATTTGACCCAGAATTTTACAAAATGATGGTCAAGCTTTGTTCTACTTTTAGTTATTTATTGGACATCTGTAGGCCTAAGTGGAGAGTCTTGGTTTGGGGGAGGGAGGGAGGAAGGAAAGAAAAAAAAAGAAAGCAAATCACTTTCAAGTCTGACAGCCTCAGAAGAAAACACAAATCATGCTCCTGACGAGTAACAGGTGAAGGGTCCAGGAGTTTGTCCTCAGGTTCAGTACCTCAGGACCACCCTGCCAAGATTTTTTTCTTCCAAGTCCTCTATACCTTGAACCTGATTATTAGCCCCAATCACACTGTCCCAAGACTCTTAAGCCCTAAGAACAGTTCTGAGTCCCATCTGGAGACCACCATCTAAATTTCAACCCCTAAACTAGCCTGAATCTCCAGTGCTGAGACTATCTCCTGGAACCCTAGTCACATCAATGTTCACCACACCCAAAGAAGAAAGACAGGCCTAGGGGATCTCTGTACCACTCCCAGTGGCTCTAACCCAGTTGTCTACACTTCTCTTCCCAGGTCACCCCCTAGGCCTCATACTGGCTACTGTCCTGGAGAAAGAAACCAGTGGCATTCCCTAGACCGCTGACATGGTAGTTTCCGAAGCTCTAACCCTTTTGCCCTTCACCCCTAACAGGTACAGAACTCCTGGCCAGCATCACTCCTCAAAGCCCCCTTTACTCTCCAGCCCCTCTTTCCCTAGGTTCCAGGACTCCAGATGTACCTGTTCTCCTGCCTTTCCCCTATGGTAATAAAATTTCCTATTAAATCTCAAGCCTAGCTGTGGGTGTCAGTTTCCTTTCAACTGACAAAAAGGGGAAATTGCACTGGCCTCCAACCATAAGATCAGTGGAGGAACTTTGACCCAGGTGTGTAAGAGGCTTTCGGCCCAGGTCTGTACTGGAAGGGTGGTGATGCCTTTGTGCTGGAAACCTCAGCTTTGCTGTTTATGGCTTCAAGAGGCAAATGCACGTTGGAAGATTCCTAACATGGTGATCACGTTTTCGGGATGGTGGTGCTAGAAGTCCAGTGGAGTTAGGGCTAAGGTCCGTGTCTCCCACCCTTTTATTTTTTATCTTGAGACATGGTCCTGCCAAATCAGTAAGTTGCCAGGCTGGATTCCAAGTTTTTGTGATCCTCCTGTCTCAGCCTCAGAACTGGGATTACAGGTGTATGCCACCGTGGTGAGCTCGGACTGAGTCTTTGAAGCCCACCACCCTGAGGTGGGAATCAGTAATATTTAAACTGTGTGTACTGTCTGCCAGGTGCTGTTGTAGGTGATTTACCTTTATTTTGAGACGGAGTCCTGTTGTGTTTGTTGCCCAGGCTGGCCTGGAATTCTTGGGCTCAAGGAATCCCCTTGTCTCAGCTTCCCAAGCAGCTGATACTATAGGCATTCACTATTACACCTGGCTATACATGTTTTACTTCTAATAACAGTTTTAAATTCTCCACTATGGCTCTATGAAAGAGGTGCCATTACTACACCATTTTAAGGGTGGAAAAAAGAAGGTTGTAGGAACGACAGGGAAATGTGAATCCACACAATCCTGATACAGTTTTCCTTAGCCATCCTGAGGCCTTGTGGGCTTTTCTGATAATGGATCAGGTGTTCACTGGGGGTTGGAGTCCCAGCTTCCAAAGGGACCTGGGATTCCTGTGCCTTCACTTCCACTACTTCTTCCACAGGGTTTCCTGGAAAGTGCGGCAGTGGGGCTGCGGGTCAGAAATCCTGCGGTCACAGCCCCCCAGGCTGCAGGCTCCGGCCCGGACGGGGCTCAGACACCTCCTGCAGACCTCTGGGGCCTTGGCAGCACCATCGGAAGTCTCCCGGTACTGCGGCCGGTTCGGACCACCTCCTTCCCCAGGAGAGGAGCCGGGATTGGGTGTAAGGATAAATCCAGGCGGAGACAGCGGGTGACAGGGAGGCGGGGCAGAGGGGAGATATGTGGGGTACACCCAGCTGAGGCTTTCAAAGGGACGGTGGGCTGAGCTGGTGCAGAACTCTATAGTGTGGGTTAGGGTAACAAGGAAGGGATGTGGCCACGTAGTGGGTGGAAAGGGTGGGAGGTACATAGATAAATCTGAGTGTGAGCGGTGCTTAGTGTGGAACTGGCTGACGCACGCGGGCGGGGTGTGTGTGTGTGTGTGGCGAGGCCAGTGTAGAGTGGTGGAAAGGGCGGGACCTGCGTGGGAAGAGGGAACCGGATGGGACTTGTGCTGATAGGATGGGTGAAGATCAAGGGGCGGGGACAATTGGGATAGGGCAAAGGGAAAAGGGTGTGGCTAGCCCTGAGGACTAGGGGCTCAGTAACCCCAACGAAGCTAGTGTCTTCCACTAGACCACGAGTTTGTGGAAAACTGCGGACTCAAAGACTTCGTTGATCATTTGACGCACCCTTTCAAAAAGTGTTCTCCTGGGCAGTGCAACTCCGATTTCGCGGAGCTGTGTACCCCTGCGGCCGCGGAGCCCAGGCCACTACCCCGGCTGGGAGCCGCGGCAGGACCCAGCATTGCAGCAGAGAGGTGCTGGCCCTACTTTGGAGGGCTGGGCCAGGGCTCTCAGGAGGTAGGGCGGGACGCGGACGTGGTTTGGTATGGACAAGAGGGGCCTGGATCCAGGGAAGGGAATAGAGGTGTGCCAAAGGGGTCGAAGAGGGCCAGTACTAGGGGGCTGGAAGGTAGGAACGGACAGGAGACTATGGCCCCAATGAAGGATGGAAAGGTAGGGGTTGGGCTGATGGGGAGGAAGCAGGGCGTGGCCTCCCATTTACTCCCAGACCTCTTCCCAGACCTGTCCCTGACAAGACTTTCTGTCCCACGACAGCTGAAGAAACAACTGCAGGCGCCCATGTCACCAGCGAGTTCGTCTCTCGTGGACAGCATTTTGTCCTGCCCTTAGTGCTGGTCCTACTGCTAACCCGCTTCCTCCTCCTGCAAAGGCACCACTGGCACAAGGGAAACGTCCTTTCCCCTCCCTGCCCTGGCTTGTTTCGAAGGCCCCAGCACCTACACCCTCATCTTGCACTCAGCCTCCCTGAGCCTCAGCCTCCTCAGGCACTTTGGAGACGGAACACGGGAAGTCCCTCTGATCCCAGGAGCACAGGAGCACAGGTGAGTTGGGGACAGCCACATCCACAAGGGGAGGGTGGGCTGGAAGCCTGCCCTTCCTCTTTATTCTAGCCTGTTTCCCAGAGTGGGTGGGTCTGGAGACACACCCATCTCACCTCTTGGAGGAGCTGGAGGAGCTGATGGTGCTGCTGCCGGACCCTCAGGCTGGGCCTAGTGGTAGCATGGCCTATGGTGCCACTCAGCATTTTGCTGCAAGATACGGGCTGCCTGGCCCACCTTCACCTACTCCCTGCGGCCCAGTCGCTTGCCACTGCAGGCCCTGATTGAGATGGTGGTGGCAAGGGTACTGCCTACCACTTTGGGTCAGCTCAGTGAGCACTTGGTCCAGCTAGAACAGGCAGGTGCTGTCCAGGCTTGGCTGACCTGCGACCTGTGGGGGCCTACAATAAAAAGTTTCTTTTCCAACAAATGTTTGCTGTCTCTGGTACCCATTTAGGGGCCTTCTCAAAGCACAACCCCAAGTGGGCCCAGAGACTAAGCATCCCCCTTCTCCTTGCCCAGAAAGGCCTATTCTATTTAATATCCACTCAAACATTAGAATATAAACACTTCTTGCTCTTCAGCCTTCACAGACCCCGCAGTTCAATTCTAATTCTGATGGGCAGCCTCACACCTACTGCTGAGGCCTAGGGACTTCCTTGGTTCAGGATGGATGAGGGGCATGGAGAAGTAGGAGTTCCTACCTGCCCTAAGAACTGTACAAATGTGAAGACCACCTCTCCAAACATTGACAGGCTTTATTGTGGGGGGGTTCCCACCTGGGACCCTACCCTCTTAAATAAAAAAGTGCATAGAAAAGAAGGGATTTAGAAACCTTTGTACAATATCTACATCCTGGGCCCCAAGGCAGGAAGGGGGCGATTGCTAGGTGGGCTAAAGGGTTGGGGGCAGGGCCCTTGCCAACTGCATGCCCACATCCACCCTGAACAGAAAGGTGGGAGTGAGATGCTCTGGGAGGGACTAGGGACCCCCCCAGGCCAGGGACAAGATGGCATCAGGGGGCTTGAGGAGTTGTGGCAGGCAGCCACAGCTTTAGTTAAGGAACCGACGGCAGCGCTTAGCGCCACAGTTGCAGGGCAGCTTGTTGCTGGCATCCTCGATGGGGAACTTGTAGTCATAGGTGAGCTCCTCACCACGCAGGATACGGCGCAAGGCAAAGATGACGATGTGCTTCTGGCCCTCCACATGGATGACACGAGAGAAGCAGTTGGGCTCACATGAGTGGTTGATGAAGCGGGCGGCATTGCCATGCATTGTGGCGTCCACCACATCAAAGTCATCCATGCGGAACATGTAGCACCCGATGCCCTACAGAATGGGCGAGTCAATCAGGTGCTTGGTCCACATGGGCAGCCCGCCTCCCCTACCTTGCTGCCATGACCTGTGGAGCCCACCTTCCCATCATAGAACTTCTCCCGCTTGTCAGTCAGCACAGAGCGGATGACAATGCCAGAGTATTCAATGACCATCTCGCCAGCATCAATGTTGCGTTTACAGAACAGGCCTCGTCCATGGATAGCTGATCTGCAGGGTAGGATGGACAAGGGGGACCTCAGGGGGCAGGGGGACAGACCCCAGACAGCCCCCAACCACGACACTTGTCCATCAACCCAAGGGGCATCCCCCCCAACCCCACTAACCTATAGACACCCACAGCCTCTTTGGACGTCTTCTTGAGGTGGCGAAAGCGCATGGCCATGGGCAGCTCCAGGCTGGTGGCACGTCTGGGGGGGGGGCAGTGTCACATAGGCTGGTATCCAGGAATGACCTCTCGCTCCTGCTCACCTTCTTTAGGACCCTTCCACTCCCAGCTCCCCTGCTTTCCCGCCTTACCTGGTTGACCTGAGCTGCACCTCATCCTCTTCCTCATCACAGGTGGCCCCTTCTGGGAGCACCCGGTGTTGGGAGGCCAGGAAATTGAACATGTCAAAGGTGCACTTCCTGCAGGTGAGAGGGAGGAAAGGAGGAAGGGTCACAGCCACGCCTTCAAGAAGACACTGCCTATCAATCTGGGCCTGGGCCTACTGTTGGCACCATAGCAGGACTATGCTGTTAAAGACACAAAGGGGAAAAGGGTGGGGTTCAATCTTCTTGTGTGAACCCTAGAGTAACTCTTGGAGTGGCCTGATGTCTTGGTTTCAATCTGTCTAGACTTATGCCCTACCCTTGAGAGTTCCCACAGGGCCCTCTCACCGGAGATAGACCTCAGCGCGGGCAGCTCCATGGGGATTCAGGGGTGGTTCCTCCTGGCCCTCCCCCTGCTGGTGGTAGCGGAATTTATAGTGCTGGCAGCGCTGGGCCCCGGGCAGCTGTTCTGCCAGGAAGATGACAGCATCATGGTGGATACCCAGGAGCCTTGCCCCACTCATTCCTAAGGAGAGAAGTTGAAGACATACAGATTGTGTGAAAGGGGGTGGGGGACATGATACCAGCCACCATGTCCTTGTGGATCACCACTTACCACTAAAGGAGAGATGTCTGAGCCGAGCATGTCCTCGGGCCTCTTGCACTTTCTCAATCAGAGTTCTCCATGCCCCTAGGGTGAAGACAAGGCCACAGCGAAGTCAGGATGGGGTCTGATGGGACACTTTCTCTCCAGCCACTGCTACTCCCAACTCACCCTCCAAGCTCTCTGCCTCCACACTGAAGCCATCCTCACTGGTGATCTCAAAGCGTAGATGTGGGCCAGCCCGTTTTGGAACCTGGTTCTCTTTATCCTCTGGGGATGGAGGCTCTTCCTCAGAGCTCGAGGCTTCACCTGGTCCCAGTGAGTAAGAGTAGGAGAGGATCGCCTCACATGAACTCAAAAGTCCCCAGCTCCCCACAGACACCATTCTCCCCCCACGCTGCCCATAGACACAGCACGGACACTGGGGTCAAATGGCCTTCCTTCAGCCTGAACTGCCCAGTGAGCCCTGTGGAATGGACAAGGTTTTTCCAAGGCACTGCCAGTTTCATGTGTAAGATCAGGTTCACGAGGCATGAAGTGTTTGGGATCTGCAGGCCACATCGATGGCTTACTCAAACCCCTGTACTCTAAATGCCCATCTACCTATAATTATTCTGCTTCTCACATAAAAGTACTAGGGAGCCAAGGTGTGGTAGCACGTGCCTGTAATCCTAGCACTCTGGGAAACTGAAGCAGAAGGATCTTAAATTCTCATCCAGCTTTGACAACTTAGTGGCTTATTGAGACCTTGTATCAAAGTATAAAAATGTGCTAACACTGGGCTTGGTGGCACACATCTATAACCCCAGGACTTGGGAGGCTGAGACAAGAGTATCACCACGAGTTTGAGGCCAGAATGGGCTACACAGTGAGTTCAAAATCAGTTTGAACTATATAGCATACCCTGTCTCAAAAGCAAAAACAGTGCTAGGTTTATTCCTCAGTACCAGGAAAAGAAAAACATAATAGCTTTATATGTATGCAAGGAATTTTTTAATAAGTGATACATTTATTTTTCCTTTTTTTTATGGTGTTGGGGATGAAACCCAGGACCTGGTACATGCTAGTCAGGACCGCTGTTACTGATATATCCACCCAGTCCTATATGCAGTAACTTCTTTTTATTTGTTTGAGAGGGGCCCTCACTATGTTGCCCAGGCTGGTCTTAAACTCCTAAGCTCAAGCAGTCTTTCCACCCGAGCATCTTGGGTAGCTGAACCTACAGGTGTGTGCCACCATACCCAACTGTAAATTTCTATAAATATTACAAATATACATCATACAGGTTTGGATACACAGTACCAAGTACACTAAAATCACTAAATTATGAACTACTTAAAGGACTTCCCTGGGATTAGGAAATTTTGATATCAGAATAGAAAGGACTTGCTGAAATATAGTAGATGTGGACATGACAAAAAGCAGTGGTCAAGGACAACTCAGAAATTTGGGTTTGAACAAAGTATAAAATGCCACTGACTGCAGTGGTGAGGATAAGGAAGGAACAAGTTTGTGGTGAAGGTCAAGCGCTCAGTTTAGAACATAGTGATTTTGGGGTGCCCTGTAGAAGATCCCCCTCCTGCAACCTGCTAGTGGAGTTGGTGAGATAGTAGGAGCCTAGAGCCCAGCGCCTAGGTCTGGGCTGGAGAGAATAATGTGGGGACTATCAGAATACAGGTAAGATTTCAGCTGTAAAGCCACAAGAAAGTATCTGGAGGGAAAGATAGACAAATCACAGCCAGAACAGCAGATACACTAAAACTGGCAGGTTGGGAAAGGGACGAGGCATGACCAGAGGTAAGAGGACAGTGTGGGGTCTTGTTTTCAGGAGGTAGGCGTTAGCTGCACCCAACATAGGTGACAGACTGGGGTTGACCACTGTATACAGGGTTAGGAGGAGGTGCAAAAGCTTGAGCAGAACATAATTTAGGAGAGCAGGACCCATGGGGCCACTGTCTCACCCTATCATGTCCCAGGGCCACGGTGCCCACACACCCTCCCCCCAGCCCCAAGTGAGACCCTGAACCAGACCCTGCTGTGTGCCTAACATTACCTGCGGCCCTCAGCAAGTAGGCCTTATCTCTAACAACTTCTTCCACCTCTTCTCCTGTTTCCCTACTGCACCTCTACTCTGTTCCCCAAACACAACAGGGCTGCTACAGGGCCCTTGCCTAGGCCCTCTCCTGTTGCTTGTTTTCTACTACAGTGCACTTGTATTGCACTGCAGATGTGTTTGTGTTCCCTACCAAGACTGGGTATGGTTCCTAAGGGCAGGAACCTATCTGTCATGGTCACTGCCACATCCTCATGCTGTCTGATTGCTTAAGCAGCCTCTCAGTAAAGCAGTCTCAGGCCACCTCCCTCTACTTCCGTGCACAGCAGCTAAGGAGCGTGTAATTACAAAATCCAAACACCTGGACAGGATTGAGCCACAACAAATCCAGAGCCAAAAGACTGCTCAACCCCCAGCTTACTTGCTGCTCCCACTCTGACCATCCTCAGAGACCAGCACGTAACTTCCCTTCCAGGCTCACTAAGTGGTAGCAACAAAACCTCTTGAGTACCTCTATGTGTCCCAATTTCTGCATACAAACCTCCTGTACCTCCTTTCCCCTAGCTCAGAGTCTGTTAAAAACCGACCACCCTGCCTTCCCTACATCCTTTTCCCTCCATGACCATGCCTTCCCTCTCACCCTTGACCTTGCTGCCTCAGCCCTCATACCCAAAATGGCTACACTGCTGCCCCATCTCTTCCTCCTAGTCCTTAGCTGCACTTCTGGAAGAGGTGCTTCACCAACACCATCTTCAATTCTGGACTCTGATGCAGCCTCCTCCCCGC